CAGAGAAAAGGCAAGTGTGGTTGAAATGTGGTGAGTGAGGGGGCAGAATGATAGGAAGAGGGGAAGTAGGCAGAGTCAGATCACAAGGAGATTTCCAGGCTTTTTGTTTTGTTTTGTTTTTAAACTTTCTCCAGGTAAAAAGTTTGGATTTTATACTCAATAGCAAATTGTTGGATAGTGTTAAGCAAGAAAATAACATGCTCCAACTTGTTTTAAAAGATGACCATGGCTGCTTCGTGGAAAAGTCAATTGTATAAGGTCAAGAGTGGAAATGAGAAGACCAATAAAAAGCTATTTACAGTGGCCTAGGTGAGTGTTAATGGTGGCTGTCATAGAAGCATTGAGGAAGGAGAGGAATACATAGATTTGAGGTCTATTTGTAAGTAGAACTAATGCATCTTGCTGAGTGTTGTATCTGTGAGACTACAGGAAGGATGGTAATCAAAAATGGTTTCTGCCAGGTGCAGTGGCTCATGCCTGTAATCCCAGCACTTTGGGAGGCCGAGGCAGGCAGATCACCTGAGGTCAGGAGTTTGAGAGCAGCCTGGCCAACATGGTGAAAACCTGCCTCTACTAAAAATACAAAAATTAGCCAGGTGTGGTGGCAGGCGCCTGTAATCCCAGCTATCCGGGAAGCTGAGGCTGAAGAATTGCTTGAACCCAGGAGGCAGAGGTTGCAGCGAGCCGAAATCATGCTATACTCCAGCCTGGGCGACAGAGCTAGACTCTGTCTCCAAAAGAAAAAAAGGTTTCTAGAATTTTGATCTGAGCAACTGGGAAGAAGGTTTCCCATTTATAGAGTGGAAAAGATGGGTCAGGCAAATTTGTGGGAAATATTGAGAATTCTAATTTGAAATACTAAGTGTGAGCCACATGTTGAGATGTCAAATAAGCAGTTAGATATGTGAGTTTGGAGCAAGGTAAAGAGATTTGGGATTGAAGGTAAACATTTGTGCATCTTTTGTGTATAGATACAGTATTTTAAAACCACGAGAGTGTGGGAGGTCACTACTAAATGAGAAGTAGAGGTAATGAAGACTGAGTTTCTGGACCTCCAGTTAAGGGTCTTTGCAGGGGAGGAGCAGCAGCAAAGGTGGCTAAATGGGAGCTGTTGTGGGGGAAGAGGGTTGTTTGATCTGGGATTTGAGTGACATGAAGGGATTTGAGTGACATGAAGAGTGTTCCGGAAAGAAGGATGGATCTGGCTGAATGCTACTGAGAGGGAATATGCTATGATCGAATACATACCCTTGTATATTAGTTTTCTGAGGCTATTGTAACAAATTACCACAAAGTTGGTGACTTAGAATAATAGAAATTTATTTTCTCAAAGTTCTGGAGGCTAGAAGTCCAAGATCTGGGAGGGCTTCCTTCCTTCCAAGGTGGCCCTGAGGGAGAATCCATTCCTCACCTCTTCCAGCTTCTGGGGGCTGCCCCAGCATTCATGGGCTTGTAACCCTGTTACTCCAGCTTCTGCCTCCATCTTCACATAGCTGTTTACTCTGGGTGTCTTTCTGAATTCCCTTTGCTACTCCCTTATAAAAATGTTCTTTGACTCTCTCTCTTGTGATGTCATTTAGGGTTCACCTGGATAATCCAGGGTAATCTCATCTCAAAATCATTAATTAATTTGGAAAGGACCCTCCACCCCCCAAGTAAGGTAACTTCAGGATTAAGACTCGATATCTTTGGGTAGCCGTTATTCAGCCTACTACCCTTTGGTTTTAGAAACGTGGTATCCATTGGAGAGCCCCATAAGAGTAGTTTCAGTGGAGCAGTGAAGCTTTACCTTTCATGCTTACTGTCACAAACAGAGCTCTGTTGTCTGTTCCAAGACCACGCAAGTTGATTACATACATTTTCTTAGGTAGTGAGTAGTTGTATGCCTGTGGTTAGCTTCAAGTTTCACATGTTCAACATGAGAAAGGATCAGAGTTCCCAGAAGTCTCTGCCAGTTCCTTTGGATTCAGTGTTCTTGACCCAGGTGATCCAAGCTGGCATTGTTTAGAAGTGACCATTATCTCAATAGCCAAAATCTGGTTTATTTTAGATTTAAAACATCTCCATTTTGAGTAATAATATCAGTAGCTATATTATTTCTTTTATAACCTGATTGACAACCATGTTGCTGAAAAATTTCTATCCAGAATGTGTAATGGATGTCATTTAGGTAATATATAGGTATGGTGGGCATTTTAAATACATAGACTATCTGAAGAGAGATCAAGGGACTCTGAGAAAAATGCCATTTTGCCAATTTTTAAAAAATTTTTTTTACCATGTTTCTGAAACTCAGATGTTAAAACTGGCACACTTGTTGCCAGGTTGTTCTCTGAAGGCTTTCCATGATTCCTGCTGGACAATTGGGAGTAGCAGAGGTTATATGAGTTATATCTGGCTTTTTGTAACATTGCGTGGACAAGAGGTAGTGACCACATTAGAAGGGCACCTGCTTCTTTGGTGGGGAATTCTGGCCCCTTCAGAGAAGTTGAGTGGAGATGAGAGGGGAGGGGACAATCACAATATTCTGGCAATAGAGAATGTTCTGCAAACCACAGATGTGTGTATACTGCATCCATACTAGAGAGTCTCTTTAGGATGGAGAGGCGCCCCTAGTTCAAGTTCAATTAGTTAAAACAGGCATGTAGGATTTTCTTCATTCTCAATTCTTCGTTGTGTTGGAACTGAAATGACTGGGAATTTTAGGTTGTTTTCCATATGCCTGGAGGGTCAGGGAGGGCAGGAGTTGTGCTTCTTCCATATGAGAAGCTTACTGTCTCAGGGAGCTGACTTGATTTCCATAGACATTCTCACAAACCACCAGAGTGCTAGTTCTGGACTGGTATATACCCCTCAGCTTCTGTATTGGGGCAGAGGCCTAAGTTTGGCATGATGAATAGAATACAGGTGTTGGAGTTAGACCAGATTAATTCACTTACTAGTTCTGTAATCTTCGGCAAGTTACATACCCTCTTGGGACTTCTGTTTCCTCAGTGGTAAAATGGGGTTGAAGGTATCTGGTATTGTGCCTGCCACATTATGGGCATATAATAAATGTTAGATGCTACCATTAACACATCTCTTTATCCACTTACTCATCTTTTTCACTTATTGATACTTAATTTTCCTCATTGCTCTTGTGTTTATGTTAAGCAGGATTCTAAAGGAATATCTACTTGTTTTTTGGGAAAGAAATAATGACTCCCTTTCCCCCATCTTGTGGCAGTTAACTGTTAGGTCTTCAGTTCCAGCACATGCGCAAACAGTCAGCATCAGAGAATACTTTCTGAGGGAGGCTTTCTTTAATTGTAAAACATAGTAAAGAGGGCAAAAGAAGGTTGGCTTATTCTATTTTTAGGGGCAGTTCTGGTCAAAGGCTCAAATATTGGAAATGGAATTGCTGAGGAATGAGGTTTTAAATAGGTCAGCTTGCCTAACATAGAGCATTCCAGGAGGTCTTTGGAAGGGAGAGCTATAAGAATGAGTCCTCTTGAGATAGGATCAGGAAGGGAAACAGCAGTCAGATGAATGTAACAGAAAAGTCATTATTATTATTATTTTTTGGAGACAGAGTTTTGCTCTGTCGCCCAGGCTGGAGTGCAGTGGTGTGATCTCGGCTCACTGCAACCTCTGCGTCCCTAGTTCAAGCGATTCTCGTGTCTCAGCCTCCCAAGTAGCTGGGGCTACAGACATGTGCTACCTCTCCCAGCTGATTTTTTCTATCTTTAGTAGAGATGGGGTTTTGTCATGTTGCCCAGGCTGGTCTCGACCTCCTGAGCTCAGGCATTCCGCTCACCCCTCGGCCTCCTGTAGTGTTAGGATAAGAGGTGTGAGCCACTGCGCCTGGCCAGAAAAGTCATTTATTGATTGCCCACCATGTAATCCCTGGGGTGCTATGCTGCCAGGTGCTGTGTTGTGAACAAAGGATGTTGGGTTGGCCTTTGGAGTTTGCTTACACCCAAGGTCAGATATTTTTCTATAGTTCCTAGCTTTGTGACCTAGAACAGGCTGCCCACCTATGTAATGGGGATGAGACTGTATGTCTTTGATTTTTAAGATCGGCCTCCCCCCCCCCAGTTGAATAATACCTTGGCAGAGGAGGGGGTAACATAGTGTTCCATTATTGGAACACTAAGCATGTGGGAATTATTTATATCTTGCTCAAGGTCAATTGCCCTGGTCTCATTGCAAAAATTCAAAAAATTCCAACCTCTGGCATAAACAGGTTAAATTATTCATTGCTTGTAAACAATTCTAAGGTATTTCCTTGTTACAGAAATGCTAATGTGATTTTTTTAAAAAGTACATTTTAGAAGCAAAACAATATGGTAATACCCATCTTAGTGATGTTGGGATGATTAATAAGATAATGTATGTGAAATGCCCATCCAAGTTAGTATTCAGTGAATTGTAGCTATTATTAATGGATGAAAGGACATGAAAAATAATTTGGAGTATCTGAAGAGAGAATTTTAAACAAGAAGGTCATAATGTGACTAGGATCTGAAATAGGGAAGATTAAAGTTCAACTAATGTTATAGAGATAAATGACTGTGTATATGAGGAGAAAGTTTTACCCGTTTTCAAAGTCTTTGTTGTTTATAGTGATAACTTCGTATATTTTTCAGTATGAAAAGAGGGAATGTGGTAATCATGTGGTTTAAATGGACTCCCATACCATCTGCTGGGCATTTTAGAATGTTTCTGAACTTGTTGCTATATAAGCTGCTAACATACACAATAAATAAAAGCAAGCATTGGCTAACTTACAGGTAAAAAATAAAAATAAAAAACAAGTTTTTATATTTTTGTTTTTTTATTTTTATTTTGTTGAGGGGGGAGTGGTGGCTAGCTAGGGACTTGTTATTAATTTATCAGTTTATTAGTTCAGTTGCCTGGCCAGAAAGTTCTTTGCCTACATTTCGGACATCTTATGTTTTGATTAGAGTGATACGGAGTTTTTAGCTCTTCTTTCTTTCTTTTCTTTTTGTTTGCCCCAGGTCCAGCAAGACTATGAATCTCTGTTCCAAATGCTTTGCTGGTAAGTGCAGAAAAAGGGTTTTTACATTTACTTTCATTTTTCTTTCTTTTTTTTTTCGGTTGTTTTTAAGACTAAATCATTTGACCCTCCCTTGGATTTATGCATGGGGTTTTGTTTTCTTAGCTTGTGTGAGAAAGCAGTTTCACCTTACCAAGGTGCTTCATATATTTGCCTAGGACGGTTGAAACAGTCTTCCTTGAATGAAATCCTATCTCCTGTGTACTTGCACCAAACAAACTTTCCTTGGTTTACTGTTGTTGGTGTACAGTAGAACTGTAAAAAATGCGTGTATTGTAATAGGGTAGTAGATACTCATTGCTCATCTTGATTTGAATGATTAATGGTTAATGTTGCTTAATCAATGAGAATATAACAGAATATTTTCATGTTGGAGTCAGGAAGAGAATCATGCTGAGTTAGCCCCTCATCAAATCCATCATAGAGGCCGCCATGGTGGCTCACACCTATAATCCCAGCACTTTGGGAGGTAGAGACAGGAGGATTGCTTGAGGCCAGGAGTTTGAGACCAGCCTGGGCAACATGGTGAGACCCCGTCTCTATAAAAACAAAAAAACTCCTGCAGATCCCTCATTGAAATCACCTCGGGTAAGTCATGTAATCTCTTTGGACCTTGGATTCATCATTATAAAATGAAGGACTTGGGCTTGACATGTGCCAAGGTCCTTTTCTAGCCCCAGAGTGGTAATTGGTTAACTTCTAGAATTATGACTCCTTCACAAAGTTGAAACTTTTAGGTGTTTTTTTGTTTTTACTTTTTTAAAAAAGAACTTTATATCTAGTGATCCTATATAAATAAGTCTTTACTAATTAGGATATGTTTAACTTTCCTTCTTCATTTTGTCAAAGATAAACAAAGCTGCATACTAGCTAAAGTTCTAAGGACAGATTTTAGTCAGTAATACACTTTTGCAATAGGGAAGAGGGTCCAGTATGAAATGAAGTCAATGTCGATTTGCAGAGATGACTGGGAGTTTTAAAGGGAGAATGGCAGGGGACTTGGGGTGGATAAACAGGGGATCTGTAGAGTCAAGGAAGTGAAAAACTTAAAAACATTGGTAAAATATGGTGATTAGGCCAGCTGTGCCTGTTAGCTGCCACTGTGACTGGGGAATAGATACCCTGTTTTTCCTGATGGTTACATTTTAAAGGAATGGCTTTAAAAGACACTCCTGAGTTGTAGGAGTACGGCTCAAAGGGACAGAGGAAGGATTCACAGTTGTAAACCCTTTTTAGTAAATGATCTAAGAGGATGGTTAGGGCCTATCTTCAGATGCTGGCTAGAACAAACAGTAGATTCTTTGGCAGCCTTGAGCTTTGAGAGGCAGACACTTTAAGGGAGGCTAGGGTCATCCTAGGGAGGTAACCTTGAGCTGTTAGAAATGTTAGTGTTTAAAATTAGCCGGACATGGTGGCACGCACCTGTAGTCCCAGCTACTCGGGAGGCTGAGGCAGGAGAATTGCTTGAACCCGGGAGGCAGAGGTGCAGTGAGCCGAGATCGCGCCACTGCATTCCATCCTGGCAACAGAGCGAGACTCTGTCTCAAATTAAAAAAAAAAAAAAAAAAAAAAAGAAATGTTAGTGTTTAAGTCTTTTAATGTGAAAGGAGTGGGTGGACCAAATCATTTGTTTTGAGAGTCCGTAATTTTTAAAGGTCCAGGTTGAGGCCTGGTCCGGAAGAGGGCTCAGAGGAGCCTGGCTAGATTTTTATTAAAGAGATTTTTGTTGTTGTTGTTAATTTTAATCTATTCATTATGCTATTTGGGCAAGGAAGTAATCATAGTGTAAGCTTTAGACCTTTACATTTGGGCCTAAACTAGGGGATACGTGGGAAAGACTTGGGAGAATTGGGGAAGCTGACGGCTCTTACGTGTTCAAAATTTGGAATTTGTCAGATATTTAGGTTTTTAAAAGAAAAGAAATACTGGTGGATTTTTATTCAGCTTTTAACAGTATGTGTGCCATGTTAAAGGACTGTATCGGGCCAGGCACAGTGGCTCATGCCTATAATCCCAGCACTTTGGGAGGCTGAGGTGGGTGGATCACGAGGTCTGGAGAGCGAGACCATCCTGGCCAACATGGTGAAACCCTGTCTCTACAAAAAACACAAAACTTAGCTGGGTGTGGTGGCGCATGCCTGTAATCCCAGCTACTTGGGAGGCTGAGGCAGGAGAATCGCTTGAACGCAGATGGCGGAGGTTGCAGTGAGCCGAGATTGTGCCACTGCACTCCAGCCAGAGCGAGACTCCATCTCAAAAAAAAAAAAAAGGACTGTATTCTGCTTCTTACCTTATGTATCTATAGTCATAGATATGAAGAAATGCTTCCTCACTGATGAAAAGTTAACTTTATAGTAAAGACTTTGAAAGTAGCAGTGAGACAAAATGTATACAGGTTGAGAACCCCAAATCCCAAGTCTGAAATGCTCCAAAGTGCAAATGTTCCAAAATCTGAGAAAAACAAATCCCAACACTTCTGGTCTCAAGCATTTTGAATTAGGGGTACTCAGCCTGTGTTAGATTGTATATTTGTCCCCACATGGAGACCCCATTGTAATTTAGTAAAGCATGGTTTTGAGAGAAGGCCAGAATAATAAGGCCTTTGAATAATAAGGTGGTTCACATCAAATAATCATAAGGAACTGTCTTGTGCCCCTAAATGAATACAAAGTTAAAAAAAAAATTATGAAGTTAGAGTTCAGCCATGGTCCTTGTGTTTCTTTGGACTTGTTACAGTTTTACTTTCTGTGTTTATAATTATCTGTCTCTAGTGATCTTTGTCTATTTACATTTTATACAACCTTGCCACTTTTGCTTTTATAAAAATATTAGAAAGACATTTTCAAGTATCTAAAGAAAATATTTGCTTATCTCCTCTATATTTTTTACCCACACACTATTGCTTTCTCCAGTTGCATTTGCGTGGCATGACTAGTTAATATCCTGCCTGCTGAAACAATTTTAAGTTCCTTTAGAAATTCTCTCTCTCTCTCTCTCTCGTTTAGAAGTGAAGCTTAAACTACACCCGATAGCCTACTACAGTGTTAAAATACATATTAAAAGTCAAGCATAGAGTCTAATGAGTCTAATGAATATTCCTGCCTCTTACAAAAGCAGAAATGATACTGCCTATGGTATTTTTTTTTTATTTGAGTGCAAATCCAATTTATGAATTTGTGCATTTGGTTGACCAGTGTTTAATATTTAGGAATAGTTAGTACCTAATTCATGATGACCTCTTGTTCTAGCATATTGAAGGCCAGCTATCATTACAGCAGTGCTTTTCACAGAATGGTTTTGCTGACCTCCTAAATAGAAGTGTGGATGACAGAAGCATCAAAGAGGATGATCACAAGTGGGGAAGGCAGAAATTTTAAAAGAACTGACTGAAGTAACTCCTCTATTAATGTGACATCATCTCTATGCCCCACAAACCCTTAGAAATACTAGTTTTGGGAGAAGAGAGGAGTATGGTGACCAGAAGTAGCTTTATAAGGCAGTGAGTCAGAAGATATGTTTAAGGAATGGAAAGTTGTTGGAGTAGCACTGATAACAGATGCTTATCATAAAGCAAACAATACATGTTTCACAGTATACAAAATGCCACTTGGTTGATGGACTTTTAAATGTGTACATACTTAATTTTTAATAAACCATAGACATGGTATAAACATAGTTTCATTTAAGACTAACTTTTAAGAAATTTGCTATCATATGTGGTTCACATATGATGTACAAGTGTATGGTTGCATGAGATAAAGCTGGAAGATGCCACATAAAAAATTTAATTGTGGTAGTCTCAGAGTAAGAGTAATTGGGGAGCTTTAAATTTGAATTTTCTCTGTATTTTCAGATTTAAGTATTAATGTAATTGCACAAATTACAGATTTTTAAAAAGTGAAGTGAATTTATACAATCTCGAAGTGGTTTGTTTCTTTCTGGAATGAGCAAAATAAAATTAGCTGTAGTCTGCAGCATTGGAAATCTAAATGTTGACATCCAACGTGAGTGATATAACAATGCTGAGCACAGGGTGAAATCGTAGATAAACCAAAATGCTAACATCTTTCTTGAAAGTGACTTGAGTTTCATGATAGTTCCAGAAGAGGATAACAAATTCCCATTTCATACCAAGTAAATTAAAATATTTCCTTACGAACTTGCAACTTAGTGGTTGCAGTTACATACTAATCGCTTTTCTGCTTCCCATTTCCTGTTAGAATACCAGAGTAAAAGTGGTATGATTCTAGTCAGTTTTGAAAAGCGAAGAGTTGTAGGTTACAGCCGAATTTTGAGGCATTACAGTTGAGAGGTGAAGCCGGCTGGGCTTCTGGGATGGGTGGGGACTTGGAGAACTTTTCTGTCTAGCTAAAGGATTGTAAATGCACCAATCAGCACTCTGTGTCTAGCTAAAGGTTTGTAAACGCACCAATCAGCACTCTGTGTCTAGCTAATCGGGTGGGGACTTAGAGAACTTTTCTGTGTAGCTAAAGGATTGTAAACATACCAATCAGCACTCTGTCTCTAGCTAAAGGTTTGTAAAGGCACCAGTCAGCGCTGTGTCAAAATGGAATAATCAGCTGTCTGTAAAATGGAGCAATCAGCAGGATGCGGGTGGGGCCAGACAAAGGAATAAAAGTAGGCCACCCGAACCAGCAGCGGCAACCCGCTCGGGTCCCCTTCCACCTGTGGAAGCTTTGTTCTTTGGCTCTTTGCAATAAATCTTGCTGCTGCTCACTCTTTGGGTCTGCGCCACCTTCGTGAGCTGTAACACTCACCACCAAGGTTTGCAGCTTCACTCCTGAGGCCAGCGAGACCAGGAACCCACTGGGAGGTAGGAACAGCTCCGGTTGGGAGGAACGAACAACTACAGACCCACCGCCTTAAGAGCTGTAACACTCACTGTGAAGGTCTGCATCTTCACTCCTGAAGCCAGCAAGGCCACGAACCCACCAGAAGGAAGAAACTCCAAACACGTCGGA